CTAGCAAAGATATTTGTTGTGTTAAACTGTATGTGGCCTCACCCATTTACTTACAAGTATTCTACCAAGGAGAAGATAGCCAATGAGTTAAAAACCAGTCCCAATTAAATTAAAAGCAGTTTGGCAACTGCCTCAAAAATACATCCCAGCAGTCAGCACTGCCTACAAGTGAGTGTCTTAAGTGCCCTGTAGATTTTGGAACTAAACCATATTCCTCTTTACCCCTCCACCTACTTATTGCCACTCCCTGGGACATTTTGCAGTTGGATCATTGGAAAAAGCCAGGAAGTGACTCAGTTTTTTCCAAGTAGTCTTGTAATCCTACTGTGACTTCTAAAAGGAAACAAAACCAGGAAAGCCTCTTAAATTTAGAACAATGTATTACACAGAGCTGTTTCTTAGGTAAATAAATTGTTTTCAAAGCAGCCACTGATGCCCAGCCTAGCAGGTTCACCCTAAACACCACCAGTGAAAAGGGAGTCAAAATTATTTTTGATACCTCATCATTCATTACTAAATCAACAAACCATCAGAAACAGAAAAAATAATTCTTCTCAAAATGAAAGCTTTTGAAGGCAATTGCAGCATTTGAACATTAAACAGGCACTGAGAACTCCCTTTCAAAGAATGGAAAGCAAGGAAGCACAAGACAGACCCAGGGAGATGGTCCCTTATATAACAATCTTACTTTGGGAAAGAAATGAACCTTCAGAGCAAGTTACTGAAGAAGTTAGTGATGGCCAAGGACAAGTAGGAGGCAGAGGAATTGTTCCATGTGCCAATCCATATCAAGAAATGCCAGATTAAATTAGGAGCTTTCAGTATGCCTCCAAACTGACAGAAGTATAGGACATATCTCTTTCCATATGGGAACAATTTTCCTTTCCCCATGAGCTTGGTGGGCAACCGATAACTCAAAGTATGCACCCTGAGAAAAACCATACAGAGAGAAGGATGACAATGTCATAATTAGGACACAAGTGTTTTGCATTACTAAAGCTTATTTTCTTCTTTAAGTTTTAGACAAATTAGTGTGCAGATATTTTGAAGATTCAATACTTATTAGGGAAATTAAAAGTCTTTGGAGGGGAATAAAGGCTAGACATAGTGGAATGAATAAGGAAAGGAAAAGCTGAAGCTGAATAGGCAGTAAAACCTACTGACAGCGTGGAACAGGCTCTCATGGGACATGAGGGTCCAAGGCTTTTGGCAAGTAGCTAGTCTAGGTGAGCTTATTTTTTTCCTGAACACTGGAAGCTGTGCAACCTTCAAAAAACAATTGAGACTTAGCTCCATTTGCATTGAAGAAAGTAACATACAAAAAACCCTTTTTTAATAGAGAAAGTTTCATGCATCCCATCTGTTTCTGTAATGCATAGAGCAAGACAAAAATGGGCTATTGGCTATACGTGAAGCATCAGACTGATTGTTCTCTGAAACCACAACCAGGACTTGAATCCTGCAGAATTCCTTGGTCTGCAAACAGTACACAGGGTCTTTTTAAGAGCCAAGCTTTAACATCAGTGTCCCTATAAAGTTACACTCAAATGCTTCTATGATATGCAACAACTTCAGCATTCAAAACATAACTCAAGTTGGACATTTGCTGACACGCATAGATCAAGTAAACAGCTGCTTTGACTCTCTGTCTCTCAGTACAAAGACATATGCAGGATGAAGGAACAAGACATGCTATTTTGGGTGACTTGAAACTAACAGGGCAGAGGGCTGGAGGTTATTCCCACTGCATTCTCTCTCAGATTCACTTCACAGTGGGGAGAGGCTCTTACATATCAAACAGAAGTATTATATTGCTGTTTTAAAAATAACCTTTAACATTTAATCATCTGCCCCGCACTGTCACTTTCAAACTAACTCACGTTATACCCAGTTACAGACAATAGCCATACTGATGTTTATATAGATACTAAACTACTCCGTCAGAATTAAATCAGGAATATGACTAATTCCCACTCTGACTCACTACACCATGAAGAGATGAAAGTTTTCTGTGAACATCAACACAAAAGAAAAAGGATTCCAAACAGTCACAGCTCCCACTGAGGAGTTTAGTTTAAACAAAGTGTTTAAATATTCATGCATCTTCTTAATCTGTCAGCATCTAATCAAGGACAATACCGTGTCTGCAATGCATTAGTGAAGGTAACAGAAACAAAACAGTTAGATGAGAGCTATGCTAACTTTCAAATAGTGGTAATGGAGAAATTTCTTAATATACTTGCTTTATTGCAAAATTACCAGAACTAATGCCTTCTACTGATTTCTTTCTAAAACACTAAAACAATGCTTGTTCTGCTGGACTAACCACTGGAGGTATGTGTATTCTTCATTTTTCTAAATAAGGAGATCTAGCATCAGAATTAGAAAGTTAATCTTAAAATGCAATGGCTTTGTTTGTTTTCTTTTTTCAGCTCTGAGGATGAGAATGGCAAAGCTGGGGAAAAAGGTGATTTAATGGCTGTAATGACATGGAAGTTAAAATTTACTACTCAAAACAGAATGAAGCTAAGAATAGTTCCTTCAATATACATTTTCTGGATCATAATGCTTGTTTTGCTCCTCTTTTTTATGCATCTGGGTTATTTTGCCCTCTGCATAATCCAAAGGATTTTAACAGACTTTTAGATTTGACCAACTGCCACATAAACACAAATCTCATTCTGGATTTTGCTGAAAGTAGTGAAAAGTTACTTAAGATCATAAATACAGTGTATATCCAAGTATGAAGACATGTGCATACCTGTTGCCACAATCAGGAATATGTTGTTACTATATACACAGAGCAGAAGATCCATACCACAGAACTGCACAGAACATTGTTTCACTTCAAAGTGTGGCAATCTACTTGATTTTGGTTGAAAACGCTATCCTAGCATTTCTCTTGTAAAAGCATTGGTTAATAAAAAACTAGAAGTGGGAGATAGGAATAGGAAGAAATGAAAATGTAAAAGCTGGTTTCCAAGCATACCACCTGGCCAAAATTTAAAGCATTCCTTTTTAAGTGACAGCAAACCAAACCAAAAATAGTTAAGTCAGCATTCAAGTATTTAGCCACCTTCTAGAGCTCCACAGTTCACTCACCCTTCCATTTTACGTATGGCAGTATAGCCATTCTCAGACCCTGCTCCCTTCCCCACGCCACGTACATGCTGCCCACCCACCACCTCACAGATAAGTCCTGTGCGTAACACTATGAACCGCCTGACCTCCCAATCATGGCTTCACCTCCTAGCTTGCTCAGAAAGCCCTGCTTTTCCAGGAGACTGTTTGCCAGACAGGCAGTGCCTATCCATCTAAAAAAAAAAAAAAAAAAAATATATATATATATATATATATATATATATATATATATATATATATATACTGCTTAGTATACAGGTTGCAGTTGGCTGGGGAGCTAAAATTAGTGCAAGCCTCCCATTAGAAATACTGATTTGCCAATGGCTTGTGCTGCAGCTGCAACAGAAAGTCTGTTACAGCAGCCACTGCTGTGCACAGCTCTCCATCAAGGCCCAAGGCTCCCACCGAGAAACAGGTTAATTTTTTCCACATGAAGGAGGAGCTGAGGGCCTTTAAAGCAGCCATAAGGTACAGCTACACCTAGAAAAAAAAAAATCACAGGAAAGTAACATTTTTCCACTACATTGTTCTTGGGAGGGAAAAGTGACTCATAGCACTACATCCTTATATTGAAAATAGTATGATAGCTTTATTTTTCTAGGTCATAGCCTAGTTTGAATCACTAAATACATAAAGCTCAGGTTGTCCTATTCTAGTATAGCTGACATATTATGCACCAGCAAAAAACTGCCATGATTTTTTTGCTGGTCCTCCTCGTTTCAAAGCAGGAAACTGAAGCTACTACCTCATACTGAGGCACTATGGTAGTAATCAGCTGATTTGTAGCCTCTAAACACTTGGTGATTCCCAGTCTGAAGGGGGTAATAATCTCAAATTTTAGGACTCAGAGATGGTTACCTGGAGAGTGGACAAGTAGATAAGAACAAATAAACTTAACTATATTACACTTTCTCTATGTCTATCCTCGTTTTTTGTTTTTGTTTTTTTTTTTTTTAATAGTGTGTTTTTTCTTCTCCCCCCTCCCTCCCATTTCTTCTGTTTTTTGCTGGTTTTGAGAGCACAGGGACTTACCCTCAAATGTTTGTTTGTTTTTTTAATTTTTACATCTTCTCAAAAGGTTAACAGGATACACCAAAAAGTGAGAGTAGGAGAGTAACATAAAAACTGCTCATGACTACTTCATAACAGCAGCAGATCACTATGGACACTCATCCCCTGCCTTCCCTGTGCTATTAAACTTAAATGATCTGGAAAGGGGGCCAAAAATGCTGCTGCCAACATAATATTATTAGAAGTCATTTAAAAGAAAGGAGACTGAAGACCAACTTCACATTAGTGAATCTACAGGTGAATTCCCTACCAATACATAAAAAATAATGTAGAAAAACAGAAATAGCCCTAATCATACACAGCACAAGTAGCAGCCATTAAGTTGGTGTTATGAATCTCTTGGCTAAGTAGTAAAACACCTTGGCATTATTTTAGATAGTCCCCTGGAAATATCAGCTCCATGCTCAGAAGCCATGAAATCAATGAGATCTTTAGGACTCATTAGGGAAGGCACGGAATACAAGTCAAAACACAACAGTGGCATAGAACTTCATATTTACAACCTGAGTAGAGTTTGGTCATCCCATCTCTGAAGAGACAAATAGAGAAGGGTAATGAAGATTATTCAGAAATGTGCAGTCATACAGGGAAAAAAACAGTAAGGCACAGACATGAGAGGCCTGTGATGAGAACTGTGATAAAGGCAGGAAGGTAAAAACAAAATACAGATCATTGCTTAATGATATGAAGAAGCAGGCTTAAAACAAAAAGCACTTTCTCACAATGACTAGTTAAATGGGGAGACAGAGACATTAATAGTTGTTTTTTTTTTTTTTTTTAATAATTCATTGCACACTTCATAGATAAAATCCAATCACAAGAGTTTATGGTCCAACCTGCAGTCTCTAGCTTAGCAAGGAAATCCTTGCACAGATTCTGGCAAGCAGCAAGGAGATCTTGCTGGGAAGAGAAAATGTCACTGTAGTCTTATTACTTCTCTTGCTCTAATATCTCCTTACTACCACTTCTGTAGACGATACTGGGCTCAGCAGATCTCTGCTTTGCCATGGGGCAATTCTGATGTCATGTATATTAAAACTACTCAGTTTGTGCCAAATGAATCTTAACTGCCCCACACTAATACACTAGCTATGCAGGAGCATGGATAGCAGATCATTAATTTGGAGGAACAGAGATACAAAAAGGAGCATTCAAGAGTTGTACGCTTCTGAGAAGCGGGGATATTCATCATGTGAGTGCTGCAACCCCAGACCCTTCCCACATCACATATCATATCAACAAGAACTGAATTGCAAGAAGGCAAATCATATTTTTCACGTCAGTACAGATGCCATGCAAATTTCCAATTAATCTTTAAAGCCAACTGATTTCTAAGGTCCAGCAAGATAAAAAATCTCTCTGAAACAAAGCCAAAATTGGAGTCTTTCTTAGTGCAGTATCATTTGTCCAGAATCAGTATCACAGATACTTGGTTCAGTGTGACAGATGTTCAGCTTTTGTGGCTTACAATATCTGAAGTCACTTTTGCACAGCACAAGGAAGACCAGTAGAAGCTATACAGTGGTTGAATTAGCTCACGCATGAGCTAGAACAGATGGTATCACACATGTTCTGAAGCACTTGCCTGGTGCCAGTTCTGCTGTGCCATTCCCTTGAGTAAGTGAACGCAACAGTTCCCTGCTTCGCACACACCCCTTAGAGAAGCTGGGATCAGATTGATGTGAGCAAACAATTCCTCAGAATTACTAGCAGATCACCCCTGTTAACCGTCCTTCCATTCACCTGGAGTCCTTACTTTAGCATTCAACAAATGTCTGAAGATCACCAAGATGACCGAAATGCAGAAGATTGCACTTTTTCCTCAATGACTGCCATTCATCTTAAGTCGTTTGAAGAGGGATTTACACGCATCGAGCACAGTTTACACACATGACAAAAGAAAACAGGCCATAACTGTTCAAACAAAAGCTTAAGGACAGATATCAAGCAAACATCCATTTCATAAGGTCTGTCTGTATGAACTAGCTTGAATTTAAAAATCGAGTTTCTTAATAAAGCTTGAGAATTCTTCTGACTAGTTCATCTAGAAACACTTCCTGTTTTGGACATCCTTTTCATGTCTCAAGCTCTCACTGACAGATTAAAGAAAGCAAGCAAAATAAAAATGCTGTTGTTGTTTGAACAAGAGCGCCACGTAGTGTTACAAACTGCAATAGAAAACAAAAAGGCAGGCAGTCTCTCCCTAGCCTTCCCAAACCTGGGTAAAGGAAAAACACAGGCATTATTACACGAAATAAGAAGTCTCCTCATCTTGTGACTTTTGACAAAACAGGAAACAGTGTAGCATTCAGTGTAAGGAGGAGAAACAAAGCACAGCTTTTCTTTGTTCATTCTGCAGCCTGCATGTCGGCTAGCAAAAAAACCTATTTCAAGTAAAGCAAAGTAGCAGTGAATTCCATTGTATTCGAGCTATTTGCATGTCCATTTTCATTCAAAACATGCAAGAAACATGATTTGTAGTTACATCAAGAGTAGGTGACCAGTATTTGAGTTGTTAGGGGCAGCCTCCAATAAAAACAGTATTTAATTGTTGTGAGACTGATCACAAGTTTCTACTTGACTGGGAGCATCTGCCTGTCTAGAACCCAAACAAATGTGCTAATGTTGATTTGTCATCACAAATTTAATCCAAGAGTGAAAAAACAAAAAAACTGAGACCTCTATCTCTTCTTGTGAACAAGTTTTCTTGACTTCTGTGGTATTCCTTTATGAAGAAGAGCAATGGGAATTTTCTTCTATATAATATTTTATCATTTCAGAAAACAAACAAACAAACAAACAAACAAAAAAAACCCACTGCAGCCATCAGTGTCTCTAGAACCAAACTGCCTGTCACCTAATTTCCTCCTGATACCAAACACTTTTATAGACTTTTTTCTTTTTTCCCCAAAAGGACTGTAGCAGAAATTTTGGCAGTCACTAGAATACAATGACACATTGCTTCCTTCTACTAGTCATGCAGGAAGAGGGCAGGAGTGGTGGTGTGAACAAACATTACCAAAAATTAACAAGTCTTTCAATCAAGTAAACTACAATACTTGCACATAAGGCCTCACATAAGAAACTGCACAATATCACTAGCACTAAGAAGGAACAAGTTATCCAGAACAACTGACAATTTTGCCAACTTTAAAGCTGTATTAGATGTGGAATTAGATGTGGAATTTCTTGAGGAAAAGAAATTCTGCATCACAGTGTGAAATTATTTCAATTTCAATAAGAGTTTCTCCAGGAAACATTTAGATAGCTTTAATTTATAAAACAATGTCTACAAAGAAAACAGACAATCCATTTTGCTGCTAGGCAAGACTATTCTTTTCTAGTTTCAATTTGATAGTGTTTTCACCTTACTAAAATGGACAAAAACATTTTTAAAGATATTTACATTCATGTTTTAAAACCCCTGCATTCATTGTCACATGCAAATGAAACAACACATAGTACGGGCACTGTATTACAGAAAGAATTTGTCATTGATAAATTTAAAAAGCCATCACTTGTGCCTAGGTTGAGAGATTTTCTATAAACTCATGGCATACAAGAGTCCCCCAAAACTTTAGCACTAGATTGGCCTGCGATTCCCAGGTTTTTGAGTTCAGAGTTCTCTAAAAAATCCACAAACCCACACAATTAGCCATATGCTTCTTGCTCCTCAGCCTGGGTTTTGCCATAGTCCCTCTTTTCCAATCTGCACATGACTTTTCCAGTTTCCAGGAGGAAGGGTGATGATTACACTCACTTGCAGTGCGCTTCTGCTGACAAGGGGATTAATCACAGCTCTACAAATGCCCTTATGGATAAACCAGTTACTTGAGCAGTCAAAAAGAACATCACTGACTACAAACATAAACTTGTAGCTTTCTGAATATGTCTTGTCCCTGCCAACAGGCTGCACTGTGGATTTGGGTAGATGGAGGAAGAGACAAAAATAGACAGCTTTAGTGAATGGAAAGAATCACTACTTGACCCACATGTATGAATACATTAGAGCTGGCCATCAGGTAGGAGAGAGATATTGCTGTAATAGTCTATACCAAGCCAGGCCTCACTATTTACTGCTCTATCCAATACTCCAACACTTTTCTTCCCAGCTAGCTTAGTAGCCCTAGGCTGAAGATACATTTTGAAGCATTACAACTAAAATCAATACTTTCCAGTATCAAAAATGAAGAAGTGTGGAAACAAACTGTTCAGAGCTGCAAAGACAAATGCAAAGCACTGAAATGCATGGCATATTAAAGGTTCATTTCTGAGATGCCATTTCAAGAGTGTCCTTCCATACTTAGGCAAAACCATGAACCAAAAAAGTTAAACAATATAGCCTCTTTCCATTCCCTGTACCCAGTTCATAAAGTTAGATAAATCTTTTGTTGAATAAAAAAAAATGCCCTCCCATATTCTTATAAAGAGAGTTCTGCCTCCTAGATATGCCAGCTCAAAGGACTCTCACTTAAGATTAAGAGAAGCTGCTTTTCCTGCAGTTAAACCAACTCCTAATCTACATTTTGCTCAATAGTGCAAATAAAACTGCAACATTCCTGAGCAAATATTTTCACTTCTGTTTAAGCATCTAAGTGGCACAAATCCATCTTATTCACACAGAAAATTCAAAAGCCACAAGCAACCAAAGACAGCAAACCACAGAAACACATACACACGGATAGGGTCTTCCTGTTCAAGTTTTGGGTAAATACAACGGCTTTCAATGCACTTCTATTGCAAACACATTTTCTCTTTATGGTTTTGAAGCACTGAGGTGGATGGGACAGAACAGTGTTTTCAGTGAGGCAAATGGTGGTTTTATTAAAAGACTGAAGTTCCCAAACTCATATGCTTGTGTAAGTGTATTGCTCTTAGAGCAGAGAGAATATTTTTTGCATTTAACTGCAAAGATAAACAATAGTATCTAGTTCATGCATCAAACTGCATTTGTGACAGTTTCACACTAAGGTTTGTTTTTTTAACACACAGAACTGTCATGAGCAGGAAGTTGTCACATCACACGCCATTAGAACACAGTAAAGTGAACAGATATGATAGATTCTGGATCAATCTTTCAGTTTTCCCAACAATAATCACGAAGGGTTTAGGGAACTAACTATCAAAAGAGAACTTTCATCACATCTTCGCAGTCTTCTTAACCTAAGCTTCAATCAAGATAATTACTGCATTTAAAAAAATAGATACTTCTTTCCTTACTCAGGCAAAGACTCCCACTTAAAAGTCTCATCAGAAGACAGCTTGTACAGGACTGCAGCATCCTTCTGTGGATTTGAATTCAAGTTCTCCCTAACATTGAGCATTATGAACATGTGCTATTCTTCAAATGCATCTTCTGGGAGGTGTTGAGGTAAAAGTTGTAACAGAAAGCATTCCTTGCAGGTTTTTCAACTGCACCATGTTTCATCACAAAATTCTCAATAACTTATTTCATATTTGGTTGATTGCTGCCAGGAAGGCAATGAGGAATACTATATTTCCACAGATATAGATGGTTAACACAATCTGTTTAAACAGACGGCCCTGCAAGAGAAGGGAAAGAAAAGCCATAGAAGTGTCAGTTTTTTCATTGGTTTAAATAAAGAATTATCTCATCTCTTAGTAGTTATTTACAAAATTGTGACTTACCTCTGCTTCTGCAGATGTGAGTGACTGCAATATCTGTACTCTGTCATCCTCTATCACTTCAACTGTTAGTGAGAAGAAAAAAAAAAAAATTAAGTCTGATCTTAAGAGGAAGGGTAGGATTTTTTAATTTTTATACTGCACAAGTTGTGATCCTGGGACTAAGTAATTAACTGTTATACAGCATCGAATTTGAAAAGCCCTTGGAAGTCTCACTTGGTATTTCATGACCTGTACCATCACACTCGCAGCACAGGTGAATAAATATTTTGGAGCTGACCTACAGAAAGTAACTTCTGCACACTGAATTGGCAAAACATGTCTCTTTTGCTAGAGTGAATCATCAAAACACTGAGTTTTGAGCTCAACAAAACATTTATTCGATCTAAAACCTTTTCCTTTTAAGATAACTAGATTTCATTAAGAGGTGTTTTCTATCATGAGAACATTAATCGTTCAAGCATTTCAGGTTCATTTCTCTATTTCTGTGAAGTAATTACTGCAGTTAAATTTAAATTCAGTTCTTTTATAATCACTCCTTCCCGATGTGCCACCTTAGCCTCTTAACTAATCATGCACCTTCAATTCTGCAGATGTCTCATCTCTGCCTTAGATACAGGTCATTTACATGTGCACAGCCATCTCCTCTCAGTGACACCAACCAGCAAAGCTAAGAATTTTCAAAGAAGTTTCTACCAGTCTCTTCATTAGACATATTGGAGTCAGGATTTCACCTTCGTTCCCCCATTAATTCAAAATTGCAAACGTCTGTACTTAAGTTTCTGATTATTTTGCTCATTGAATAACAGCAATTCATACCAACAATTTGCCACAATAAAATACAGACTAAACCTGCATGACCTAGCCTGGACTTTACCTACCCACCTGGGATAAAAATCATGGCAAACAGTGATAAGATTCTTGGAAAATACTTGTCCTTTTCAGTTTGCTCCTATGAACTGTGTTTGGAGAAATAAGAAACTACTAATTAAAATGGCACAAAAATAATTTTACTGGGACACTTTTGTCTTGAAAACTGGTTTACTCCCATATAATTTTGTACAGAAGATATGATACATTTACTCGAGTTATTCCCTTTCAGCTTCCAAGTTAGAGGCCAAAGAACACCTCCCAGAATTCAATCCACTGTTAAATTTTTTGCACAATTCTCAGCAAGCAAAATAAAAACAGGGTTTCTGTTGGGTTTGTACCTTTACGTACGAGCCAGTAGCTGTGTACTTCCAGAAGAACATCAATACCAACATGCCAAGCTACGAAACCAATCATTGTATAGGTGTCCCATGGGTCTGGTAGGTCAAGTGCTGGGAGATCCATTCCCAAGAACATCGTCACCACTAGACAATAAAAACAAGATTAAAAAAAAAAAAAAAAAAAAAAAAAAAACACAAACAAACAACAACAAAAAAAACACATTAAGAGTGCTGTATCAAGGTAATTTTAAAAACATTCTCAAGTACCTTTGGCAATAGTTTTCCCATGAATTGCCTATAACTGCTTAGGGATAGAGATTAAAGGAGTCCATGCAGCTAAAAGCTGGTTGTTCTGGGAGGGTTTTTTTGGCAGTGTGAGGGGGAAGGCAGGGAGAAAAGAAGGCCAAGATAGTTTTCATCCTGATCAGTGCCCTGTCACATGCCAGTCACACAAACACTAGCATTTATGACTCTACCAACAAGACCACAGTCACCGCAACATTTGCACTTAGGCTGCCTGTGGAAACTTGTCACTATTAATAGAATTAAGCCCAGCTTCTGGTTGTGTAAGCAAGTTTCCCCTCTCCCATTAAGTAACACTGCACTATGTTACTGTAAGAACACTATCCTCAAATTTTCCAAGATAAAAAGAAATTACAAGCCCTCAGTACACAGATCTTTCAGATTTGTCTGTAATCTCTTTTGCTAGCCACTTTTTCTCCCTAAAGCTGTAGCCGATGACCACTTAAAACTCAGACAGAAGATGGTCATCAAGAAAAAGAATCTTCAAAAATGCCTAGACTGGATATCCACAGATGTTTTAGATGAGCAATAGGCCAGGCAGTGAACAAAGTTCCTTTCAGTCACTTAAAAAGGCATGATAACTATTACTGCTACTCACCAGCTAGTATTCTAGATGTTGTACCAGTACTCCAGTGAAGCCAGTTAAACAATTGTCTCCTACAAAACAGTGAAAAGCATTTTATTGATTACATAGTTGGGGGGCAAGGGGGGTGGGGAACAGGGAATAAAAATCAAATAATGTTGTTACCTACTTTAAAGATATCTTTTCAATGTAAAAAGAATTTTTCAAGAAACAGGCATATTTAATTCCTGTGGCTGTAACTTACTGAGTTAGTCGTGCATACCTTGGTGCATGACGAGATGGTCTGAAACCTGCCATAAGTGGTTGAAAGATTGTCAGAGCCATCACGGTACAGCCAAGATATGGATGAAAACCTGCTTGCTAAACACAGGACAAATTTCTTTAACATCATATCTATATAAAGATATAGGAAAAAATACAAAAAAGTTGGTAATTTTATTTATGCTTGTACTAGTAAGTTATAAAGGTGGAGCAGCACTGTGTTTAGACTGGCAGAGGCAACAGGACACAGTAAGCTGCCCTGAGGCTGGATGGAGATGGTTCTTGGCAGCGTGAGACACTGGTATGTCTGCTCAGGGTTTGTCCCACATTTTGCTGTATTGACAAATTCTACCAGCAGAAGAGCAGAGAGCAATACAACGGTAGAAGCTATGCTCCAAGCTTTTCATCCTCAATCCTGTGTCTTCAAGAGAGGCCTATTTCATAACTCCTCCCAGAACTGTTTCCCTAACTCCTAGCTCGTATCTGTGACCACATTCTCCCACCTTTAATTCAGATACTCTTCTGACTTTCCAATTTCTGATATCACCTTGCACCAAATATTATACAGGTGACAGCTACAGGTATACAATCTCTAATGTTCCAGACTAAGTTTAATCACTGGGTACAGTTACTCAAGTCCAAATTCATAACAGCACTTATTCCCAGCAGGTCTAACACATTAATAAATCAGCTGTCCTATCCTCACTCCCTTTCCAAATTCAAGTTCTCTAAGGAAATGGGAAGACGACTGATTTAGTACATAAAGATACTGTAAGCAAGGTCTTTATTTGGAAAAAAGAGGAAGGAAGGAAAGTACTGAAGTTTGTCAGTTGTAAAGGAGGCAACATTCCTCTTCTGCATTGCTAGGATTTGAAATCAGCCTACTTAAGGACAGCTTTCACAGCAATTTCCTCTGCAAAAGTTGTAACATGTTAGTCATCAGTGGAGCTCCTTCTCATTCATTTGGTCCAACCTTTACATTAGAGTTAATTAACAAAATAAAGCATACACTTACTTCGCTCCAACCTCCTCGGTATATAAAAGGCAACACAAAAGAAATGCTTGTAAGAATGACTGTGGTCAACATAAGCATACGATGCACCTAGAAAAGTTAAGTTTGCTTTTAGAAACTTTATAGCTTTCATAAGGCGCTACTAAAATACATTTAACAGATCTACAGTTAAAGATGTCCTTAGTGTTCTCTTTAGACTTTGCTTTTACCAATAAAGTAGGTGAACTTCTCATTTGTAATTTTTCAGTTTTATAGGACTGAAGGAAGATAAAAATCATACCAAATTTAATCTCTTCTTTCTTGGATCTAGTAGATTTGTAGCTCTGCTTACAACAAAGCTAGAAAATACAGCAGGAGATATGTTATGAGATTTTGCCCACCTGAAACCACATCTCCTTTCCAAACAGGAATGAATGAGACCAAACAGGTTTGAAGAATCGTGCAACAATAACACCAATACTAACTGCAGTAATCCAAGCAACAAACATGAGAGCTCCTGAAAATTGAAAAAATACAAGCTAAACATGAATAATTTAGACACATATGAATACAGCTCCAAAGACTGTGTAATAGTTTAGTCCGTATGCATATGGTCAGAATTTACCAGTGATAAGTTTTTAAACACCTGGTTCAGACTAAAACTTTACAGCATTTATCTTCCTAGAGTGCAGAAATATCCATTTAAAAGATAATCATACTATGTCCACACAGCACAACAGAGCAGCTCTGGCTATTGCACATTTCATATGCGCCAGTACAGTCAGTACATTCTGGTGAGAGATGCTGTTCTGTCACCAACTGAGACATCAGAGGATGAAAAGGAATTTCTTAAAATTTTTTTAACAAAGAATGAGTGATGGTTCTCTCATAGGCCTGATTTAAAGTCCAGTACTGTGAGAGGAAAAAAAAAATTCTCAGTAACTTCAATGGTTCTGGACTGTCAGTTGTGGGGTTTCTCATTTCAAATAGAATTAAACCAGTAATGCAACTAGACCAAATCAAACCAGAGAGAAAAGGACGTAAATAGGAACAAGTCCTAATTATAAATTTAAGAGAAAAGGCAAATGCAGGTTCATTTTTCGGGGAAAAGAATCATATAACTGTTACTGAAATGAAAAAGGATTAATAACTTTACTCTGTTTTCACTGTCTCAAATCTTGCTAGGCAAGAGTATATATATAACATGAGTGCCAGAAAGACAAGAGGAAACACCTACTCTGCAGTAATGGGGAAAAGTTAACTCTCCCGTCTCAGCAAGTCTAGAACTAGAAAACAAAACTAGAAGTTGCAGCTTACCATGAGCCTTGATAAGTCGTGGGGACCGGGAACCTCCAATATCCTGAGGAAGGCCTGTGACATTGTATATTCCACTGGTGATCAGAGGTTGACGATGATGCTTATATATGATTCCACCTAAGCAGTGACAAAAAGTTTTATTTATGGCCAATGAAAGCCACTGCTCCTGTAAGTGTGCCTGCTCCTTATCTATGAATGCAATCCCTGTTGTGACTACCAGGCATACTCATACAAACTAAATTTCCAATGGACAATATGATAAGGACTTAAGATGTCATCTAAATTGTCTTTCATACTTAATGTACAAGAACCAACTCACACCTCTTCAGAAAACAGCTTTCTGTAGAATGGGGCAGACATGAAACACAAGACATGAATAATAATTCCCTTTGATGCTAGTCTCCATTTTGAAAAGATGTGCCCAGACACAAAGAAACTACCAGTTTCTAGCATGAAGTGGGCATACAACGCACATATATGTGTAAGTTTACTATAGCTTCCAAAAGAAAACCCACGATCCAGAAAGGTAGTAAAGATGACTAAACTAAGTGCCTCAAACTTGGAAGCGTTAGTTCAAATACTGATTCTCAGATAAACTATATTTTACATAAGGGTTACTAACTCATTTAGAGCTGTTCAAAGAAAAGCAACCATATGTAAGTTAAGTTTACCTTCACTAGCTTCCCCATCTGCCAGAAAGATGTAGTAATTGGCATCCAGATTAAATCTCCCTTTGTGAGCAGGAAAACGAATACTCCTTCTGAAAGAACACTGAAGAACACCATCCACAAGCCTCCATGACACATCTTCAAGGGCATTCTGTGAAACAGGAGACATTTAACACTCAGTCTTTTCAGACTGGAAAAGTAATTGGCTTAAGAATAAGCCTGCAAAAGACAAGTGTCACTGGTGCACAAGCAAGAACAGCAATGATCAGGGTGGGAGGGGGGAAGTAAAATCTCTTGCTTACCACCTTAGAAGGTATGTCACTAAGTCAACACTGCAGCATAAGGGTTGGACTTATTACCACTAATTTTTCCAGCTCATAACAACAATCTCACCTTCCCTTCCCACCTTTAATCCATGATGTATGGATTGCAACTGCAGCCCTAGCAAAGGGACAGAGTAATAATGGGCACAAAAGTTCCTCGATAGAGTAAGATCCCACCACATGATTTATTATTAAAAAATAAATTTAGACTTCTAAAGATAACATTTACTAGTAAGTTAAGAGCCCAACCAATCTCACCTTAAACTGTTATGGACTCACCTATTTACTTCATTACTTCAAACCTACATTTGTGGGAGTGTCTTAGTAGTTTTCAAATGTACCTCTGAATCCAAAACAGGAGGACTTCGCCCCTTCAGACAGGCAGTGCTTACACGAACGCGGTGATTCTCATTAACACACAGATACGCATCATCACCACCCTGGAGAGTTTAATAGAAAAAAGGTATTTATAGACCAATAAAAACCACTACTGGCAGTCTCCAAAAGCTCTTTGATTTAATATATGCAACAAGACCCAAGACAGATTTCTCTAGTTGTCAAGCTATTATTTCCCAGCTTTCAAATACTTCAGTATTACAGAGGAACAACATTAAGTCAAAGATGGCATGTAGTAAGTCACATTACAATTTACACTCCCCCCCTTCTCAGGATAACAACCATATTATCAAGAGTTTCTTTAATCATTTAGAATTTACTGAATTAGCAAGACAAGACAGAGATGGACATTGATATTAATTAAAAACCCTCTTCAGTGAAAAGTGTCTTTACAACTATGAGGAAAACCAAAAGTATTGTTAAGAACCAAGTGTTCTTGCATGAGGGACATTAATATAATCAGCACCTCCTTTGTGCAGCGGTTAGTTTAAGGATTATGCATCTGTCAACAGCATCGTCCCTTCACTTGAATACCAATTAGAAAAAAGGATCTCTAAACACTTCTTAAGATTGAATGGAGTCACTCCTGTACAAACAATAATGAAATGCAAATGATTTTCAGAAAGCATATCAACTCAGCTTCTGACAGATGAGGGGTTTTGGCTAGGTAACAAAGAAAGACAGATCTAACCAGGAATTCCAGTCAGCTAGAGTGTAATCAGATAGGTTGGATACTATTAAGACAAGGAAATTCCACTGCAAATGGTCAGTCCTAGCTAAAACTGAATATCTACCTATAAAAGGCAACCTTTGAGCACTATAGGAGGGAAGTTACTTTGTGTGACATCTAGCAGCATTTCAGTTTTCTATGTGCATGTTTTGCTAGACTACAATTCAAAGTTTACTAAGATCACAAAAGCAACTAGAGTGAAATAGGACACTCACCATCCACTGGTCATGGGACAATGCAAATGCTAAATATCCTTCACTTGGACCACTCATTTCAATAAATACTGAACTCTTTTCTTGTTGGAAGGATAGAAAAAAACAGGAAGCGCTTTCAGGATCACAGTTTGAAGGGTTCCTAACGCAGAACTTCGTACTTCCACAACCTGATGCATTAAACTAGACAATTAAGCAAACAAACGAGTCATAAGCAATGAGATGTTCCCTTCTTCCTCCCCTTCTGCCCCATTCTAGAAGAAAGCCTATAAGGAACGGCAAAAAAATGCCATGTATGTCTACATACCAATCTCTTAACCCATCCCTACTATTACCCCAGGACTGGTAGATAAAATGATGAGTTCCAAGCTGTATTTTTACTCAAGTTGCATTTTCACTTGAAAGACATTGTAATAGAATAAATTTGAAAAGAAAGTTAAAAACTTCAGAGAGACTTCCTTTGGTTTAATCTTTAGAGACATAATATCAGCTGTAGGATGAAGGAGAAAAGAAGGAAAGGCCAGCTTTTCATTTCCTTTTTAAAGTAGGAACTCCACTGATACACAGTGAGAAAATAGTTGGATTAAAAGTCACACTTATTCTGGATCAAATAGTGATGCTTGCTCAATCCAGTCAAGAATCAGTAGTGGAAGTCAATAATGCAGATGAACCCAGAGAATGAAGTTTCTGAGCCTGCAGTTACTAAACAGGAAGTTATTAGTCAAGACCAGAGCAAGTCTTTTCCCACCTCTCCTCCCAGTTACATGTAATATTTTCTGTCTATTAAGTTCTAAATGTTCTGTCAACCTTCTGACCCGTGTGTGGTGTGACAACATTTAACCCACACAAGAGTATAGCTGTCTATGGTCTTAGTCTCTCATATCCAACATACTCATCCATCATCTCTTCCTTTTTGTCAATAAGCTGTATCAATGTGATTTCATTAAATTCCACTGACTACAAGCATTAAAAACAACATGATTTAGGTTTATAATTACTTACTGGCCTTGATAAGTATGAAATTGGGTGTGAAGTTGACATTGCCTCTGATGTTGAATGCAAGGGTGTTGTTGGGGACAGTGCATTAGGCTGAGAAACAATGGGACCAGGAATCTTCACCCAGAAAGTCTTGTATTTCTTCACAACTGTGGCTCTTAAAAACACAACACACATAGTCATCAGTGTATACATCAACAGCTGACTGTTACTTAAAAAAAAACAGGAAGAAGGAAAAGCTTCTTTACTTATTTGTAAATCCCCCATCTTTATGCATACCTCTACCATTTCACAGATTTAAGTAGGAAAATATCTGAAATCTCAGTGGAACAAAAATTGTAAAATATACTGCATGCTCTACTGGATATAACATTCATATCTGTGTCACAGATTACAGCTTCAGGGAAGAGTTGCATAGTTTTTATCCGTCAGTTCCCAAAAAGCTAGTAGTATAACAGGAGATTATATGTACCATTTTGTTAGGTACAAGCACAGAAAAAGATTCTTAACACTGTATATTACAGGCATAAGAAGTGATTGGGTAACTAGAAATACTAAAGAAACTGGTCTCCAAATTCCCTTCTACTCTCCTCACGAAAATCAAAACAATTATGTCCAAGCTTTCCCTAAAGAACAAGTGTCTGTATTAACATAGACTCCGCAGTGAGCAAAAGGTGTTGACTTTTCAGGCCATTAGTGCAAGGATAATTTTCAGTTGCTGGCCAATATCTGACACAGACAATGGTACAGGTGCACCTTATTTTCATTTTAATAAACTAGAAGTAATACTAGATTTACTTACAGAAACTGTACATGTTTTGGTGCATTTCCAGAAGCAATCCAATAAACTTTTATGTACTTCTTTTTAGCTTTACTTGTGTGACTGACAGCTGAATTCTGAAAATACACACACATACCAAGAATTAGACAGTGAATGTTCACTAAGATTTCAGCTAACACGGTCATCACAGGCTGCTGCTAAATCCCAAACAGCCACTGCACAGACGAAGTGCAACTGGCTTTTCCACATGATCCCAAGTCACCATCAACCCAGATGAAATCTACCACTGAATTTTATGCATACTAACAAACTTTAAGGCTAAAAGGAACAACTAGAGGTCTTTCAATCCAGAAGACTCCAGTGATGAGACAGGTCCCCACAGCATTTATGCAGAAATGGTGTGGTAACACTCCATTTTTTATAGTAAGATAATGCTCCATTTGTTGATAGTAAGAGCATGAAGGGACAGTGCAATGACTGTACAGAGAGGACAGAACTAGTATTCCAGAGGACAAAAACCAGAAGCAGTCTTGGGGTCAGACAGCTATTTGCACAGGATAAACATATCAGACACAGCACTGAACTAAGTCCTCTGAGCACAGAGGATGCAATCCAGACATCCCCATGGCTTTACAGCATTGATGAATGCATTAATTGGATGCCACTGGGTGGCAGATGGTAGAAGTGGAAAGAAAAAAAAAAAAAAAAAAAATCACATCTAGGTAGCTTGAGAACTTGGTCCACACCAGCTCAGATGACACTCTACATGTTCATAAAGTTCACTGAGGATTGATGAAACACTAGTCAGAGTTCACATCTCTTGCACATGAGGCAGAATCAATTTATCTAAAATGGATATTGAAGACTGATCTAACCTGTTACTAAGAAGGCTCCGTTAACAGTAACTGACAGAGCAGCAGTGCTAAAGATAGTAACCTATTCTAGTGTTTGTTTACAATAACTGCCCTAAACTTTCCTTGCTGTAAGACATTTTCTCTGTCCTAACAAGAATGGAAAATGATTGATAACTCTCCTCTTCGAAGCAAATAAAGCATGCCCTCCTCTTTTTAATATTAAGTACAATAACCAGGAATATCCTACATTCACTGTGCACAAGTAAAAATTATGTTAGGAATGATGCAACTTCCTGCAGCAGTCAATAGTCTTTGATCACCAGGATAGTTTAAATGGCTTGTAAGAATAGTCTGACAAAGTTGCAGTGAGCCATGCCTCTATACTGCACGTCGGACCAATTTCCTGAGAGACTAACTGAGCTCAAAGGTTACACAGCTTGGCTCTGTCCTGTTACAGACATGGTCTAGTACAAACACCTCAGTGTCTGACACCCCACTTTAAGACACCAGACTATACCTTGGTGTGGCCACATGTCAGAAGCTGAGAAAGTCTCCTGTCAACTAACATGAAAGAACCAACTGGAGGGTTATCCAGGTGTTCTGCATCCCGGGCTTGAATGAAAAATCCTTCAAAATCTGGTCCAGACAGATGAACTGAAGCAAGAAGAAAATAAAAGGAAGCTGAAATACTCTCCAGAAGAAGAATGAAATATTTCAACAATGACCACTGAAAGTTCATTTTACAAGTACTGAATGACTGCTAAATAGATCACGTGAACCAGATTCACCTGCTTAGATAGATCTAGTATAGCTGAGTAAAGACATGCTACAACACAAAGAAACAGTAAATTAAGCTTTTCAGCTATAACTGACACAATACCTTCTATGCTGTCCCCTGGTTTAAATTCAGTCCCATTCACTGTAATGGTATGCTCAGGTGACGGCTGTGGAAAGCCACCATGACAGGGCATCATACTAGTACAGGCTTCTCTTATTTTTCCACTTGAATAGCCATCCACAGATGCATAGAAGCAAATAAGCATCCAAACAGGTAAAGCAAGGTCAGGCAGCTCCATCTATATAAATTAAGAGTTACAGGCAATTAAATACAATAAACATTTACATTTCAGGTCACCAATTATCTTTAGAGGAATCAGTTGAATACTAAAACTTTAAAATAAAAGCATGCATGAGAAGACACCATTCCCAGCTGCAGAAGCTAAAAGGAATGTGTGCTTCTGATAACTGCCAGACTTTGCAAGAATGTTGACAGTTAAGTTTCAGGCCAACAAGAGTACAGATAGTAGATGGATCCCTCCATCCTCTGAGTTGATTACTTCTCTAGGTGCATTTTGACATAACTTTTAAAATTCTTTTGCTTACACCTTTCTCTCTCTCAAAAAAAAAAAAATCCAAATTCCTTAAGCATCTGAACAGGACAGATGGATCTTAAAACATGTTTCATTGATGTATAAAGGTCCACAGTACTGAGGAACTACACAGCTAGTATGAAGTCCACTCTTTTATTAATCATAGCTCCAAATTGTGCATCATTGCAGACTGCCTTTTGTTTCCACAACTCGTGTCTAATTCTTCACATGACAAATAACTCCCAGGTAACACGTTCTTCTTTCTTCAGGGAAACAAAAGTTGCCAAATGTCAGAAATAGATTTTATACGTGCAAAAGAGTGACAATTTGGTATGAAGACTTAGACAAAGAAATGTGTATGTTTGCTGCAGACAAGCATAAGACTTTTTCTTTGAACTCTTCCTTTTGAATTTTGGACCTCCAGACAATTAGTCAAACAATATAATTGCTTGTCACACTCTTGTTAAGGGAACAGTCAGTATATGCATGAAAAATATGTGGGGTAGTAGGACCAAAGAGCCTCAAACAGTTGTATGAACCCCTAATCCTGGCATTCATCATATAATGTTTTGCTCTGACACAATACTGTTTTCAAAAAAGCTGTGGTAAATGTTTTGTTACCCAGCAGCATGCAGGGTTTACAGTTGTATTACTGTTAACAGAACACCTTAGCCAACCAGAAAAAGCATTTGCCTGTCCAAAAGGCCAGGAAAATAGAGAAACTTCCTTTCAGTCCTTAGGCACAAGAAATGTGTTATCAGCTCTAGTAGAACATATACCAGGCAAGTAGGTCTGCCTTCTGGAAGAGCCATGTCCATTTTGCACCAAGTGATAAGAAATATCAGGTTATAAAGTTCCCTGACAGCATGCATGGACACAAAGATAAGAAAGGCACACAACCGTGTCAGACTGAACTCTGATACCTAAAAAGCAGTCAAATGAAGACAAAGCACGTCATTAGTCTTGCACACACTTTGTAAGAGCCATCAGTATTAACTTTCCAAAAGTTCTCATCCACAATATCCAGGGCAATGTTACATTTGTACTTCAACATAAGAACCCCTCAGCATCTTTGCACCAGTAAATTGGAAAAATAAGTCAGAGAGGAGAAGGGGTTACACTTACATTTCATAAACTGGAAAAAACCAACCAAACAAACAAAAAAAAAAAAAAAAAATCAAACAACAAAACCAACATGCAACTCCTCCAAATATTCAAGATAACATTATGATAATATCTTTAACTTCTAGTTAAAGAAAGCTCTTCCAATACTTCTCCAAACTGTCACAAATCTACATGACATGATTTTATTCATAAGGAAGCCAAAAACTGAGGTTCAGTACAATGGTGGCAATAAAGCAGCTTTTACATGTACTAGTGAAATCTTCAAAACAATTTGCTGTCAGAAGAGATAAAACAGCATACTACAGAGACAAGAAAAAGTTAGTATTCCAGTTTAAGTAGCAGAGGATGTGGTAGAGATTTAAAATAAAACAAGAAATATTCTTTGGCAGACTCAACTGACTCAGAAGAAAAAGAATAAGAAGCAGAGATGAAGAGAATGAGAGAGACCAAAATCTGAAAGAAGTACTGTACTGAAGAGCAATTTTTTAAAAAAATTACTTTTTAAACAGGGTTAACTGTAGATAAGCAATCTTCTCAATGAATGTTCAACAATAAGGGCTAGATCCTATAAAGAATAGTAATTTCCATATTAAAATTTAGCCTTCCTCAAACACTCAGTTGCCTTGAGAAGTCCCTTTCCTCCTTTAATCTGGAAATACATTGTGGCAGTCTATGTTCTCCACTTACACAACAAAAGAGGCAGAGGGAAGATGGGAAACTTTTATAACACCACCAATCATTCTGTGGTTAATGATTCATTTTGTATTTTTAGAAAATATCTCCTAAAGCATTACTGAAGACAAAACAGCACAATAGGTAAACATTCAAGAGAAGTCAAGCGTTAAGAAATTATTCCCTAATTTCAGATTAAAGAACTCTGGACTTTAATGCAAATACCATAGTAAAACCTTTTTCATAACACAGTAGAACTTCCTATTTAAAACCATAGTTTGGAATAGCCAAAAATAGAAATTTACAATCACTCATCTGCTGCCCCTAATTCAGCTAGGAACTCACTGTGCCTCCTTACACCCCTCTCCAACACACACACACACTCTTGGCCTTCAGTCAAGTCTTGTTCAAAACAAGCCTCACACTAATCATAATGAGCAAGGAAGACAAGGACACAAAATCTGAATATACGGGAAGGAAAAGGGGAAATCCAAAAGATGTCCAGAACTTCCTCGTATAAGCAGGTTATGTCTCCTTTAGCTCTAAAAAACTACCTGTTACAAGATCTTGAAACAGTATGTCATGCCCACATGAATATGACAGTCTGGCCAAGGGAAAGAAAAAGTGAGTTAGTCTGGAAAGCTGAGTACATATCATTAGTAGTTAAAAAATGAGCAAGGTTTTTAAAAAAAAAAAAAACAACCAAACAAACAAAAAACCCCTAAGAAATATATCTAGTTAGACTAATGAACCAGCAATAAGCACTTCTGAGAAGGAACAAGAAAAAGTATCTTCATACTCAGGCTGATGATTGATAAGCAATTATATTTATCCTCAGCCAAGTATTTGCACAATAGATATCTGCTTTGCTAAACAAAACAAAACAAAAAAAAAAAAAAAAAAACACAAGAACCAAAGTCAGACACTAAAAAGCAACAAGTCACTCATATAAAACAGTCACCTCTTCTTCTGTAAGACTACATGGTTTTCTCTTTTCTCTGATTGGAGTTCTGTAGCCACGATATCATTATGTCACTCCCAGCGATTTTCTCAGGAATGACTACATTTTTAGACACTTAGCATGTCACATATACCACAATGCAGAACAGTTATTTAGAATTAGTGGAGTAAATAGCTTTAAAATTTTAACTGTTCACATACAGAGGTAAAGGAATCAAGGCTTCTAATAAGTGAACATACAATAAACTGTGGAATATGCAACTTTTTTCTGATATTCCTCTTTGCAGCAAAAACATAGGAAGAAAACTAAATATCACAATACATAAGTACAATCCCAAACAAAAATTGTTAGGATTAAAGGCATGGAAAGGATTGTTACAGAGAGGTTAGGTTCAGGAAAGCTGAAGTGTCATATGTGAATCATGCTTAACCTCACCACAAAAGAATAAATGCCTTTTAAAGAATAAAGTAAAAAGAAAAACAGTTCTCCACCTGTAAAAAGAAGGACCCAAGAGCGATCAAAGCCATCACATCTTACAGAACTGTTGCTCACTCTGTTATTCTACTCCTTCCAGAAACGTGTCTGAATTAAAAAAAGTTAATTTGCATTCTAACAAAGATGAATCAGCAGATCTCTGCAAGATTGTCATTTCTAGATAAGAACAACATAACAAGCTGCATCAAAACTTTAAATCACCAAGTATCACAGCTACAGCTGGATTCAAAATGAGAATCTATGTCAACTCAAGTTTTCAGGTATGTAAGCTGTGAAACAGGCTGTTATTATCTATAGCATTTGAAAATGCTCTCAGTTTCAAGTATAATTTCTGACAAATTGTAGATTGGTCCTTCTTGATAGATTTTGTTTGCAAGTTGTATTAAGCAGCTTTGGCCATAGTGGTTTATTTATAACCCATTGAAATACAACAGCTCATTGGTGACAGGATACAAATTAGCAATCAAGTTCCCCGTACTAAAGAGGAATAGGAATAATTGACTTCAGGACAGAAGCATAATGATGTTAAAAAAAAAAAAAAAAAAAAAACAAACAAACGTAAAAGCTAATTCCTGTAGCATTTTTCAACTGGCAATTCTCCAATGTTTTTGCTAATTTACTGTCATTTGAACAACGTGGAAGAATAACAGGGAGTTTAAGGATTTCTGCACTATCCAGTGTCTTGTTTTCCAAGATAAATGCATTACACCAAAATGCTTGTGTTAACCAAGGGCCTAAGCACACATACAATCTCGTTCCTCTATCCTGCCTGTGTGCCAGCTGCACACCACGCGGTGGTACGTATCAATAAGTGCCCCAGTCAAGGTTACAAGGATGTGCTACAGAGCATACTAGCTCTACAGTCAGAACACAATCATACAGCATTGATTGTCGATTTTACACAGTCTCTTCCTATAGACATACTTTTCAATATGTTGTATGTGACCAAAGAGAGCATAAGATCCTGGACTCCTTTCTCTACAGATATAGATGCTAGCACATACCACACCACTGCAGGATAAGACAGTTATTCAAATCACTGTGTTTCATACCTTTATTTAGAATGGAAAAAAATACTTCAATACTCATTAGTTTGAAGAATGACTGCAAATTTGTTATTCCCTCCCTACCTAAATCTTCAGATTAATACATAACTCACACCCCCAGCAGGAAAGAAAGCTTAAGAACAAGTTTGTTCGAAGAAACCTCATCCTTACCTGTAATTCTAATGGCGTTTCAAATATCATCTCACTCTTGAGGTGGAGGGCGGGAAGGAGAGAATTGTGTACTTGAAGCCATTTACAATACAGCTCTCTAATTAATAGAAAGCCAAATACGGAGTGACAGTCATCTTATCATCCTTGCCTAACTTGAGCAAAATGTTTTAGAAAGTCAAGCTTTTCCAAGGAGGCAAAGTAATCAGAAAGTCAGTATTTATTCCATATGGAACTTTATCATAACTTAAAAATCAATTTCATATAAAGATTACTCAATACTAACAGCTGACTTCTAAAGTAATCCGAAATTTCAATCAAGCATTTCTTAAGCCATACTACCAAGTTATTTTATATGTTTGCTGGGCAGGTCAGAACTCAAGACAGAAATAGAGCTTTTTGTTCAAGCACCCTTTTTTGGGAACTTACATTGCATACAACCCATCAGAAATTTGGATGAAAGGCATGTAGAAAAATCAGAACAGAGGTCCCAAAGGTACTCCACTCATGGCCAGCTATTCCAACAGCAATGGGATGGAAAACAGTTATTTAAAGAGACAGCAGCTGAGAACCTACAACAGATATTCCTGAAAAAGTAAACTAGAAACAACCGTTTCAGTTATTATGAATGAAGTAGCTAGAATTCTTCATACTTATGATGGACTATGACAGGACAAGAACACCTCTGTGACAGTTCAAACATTACTGGTTAAAGGGTAAAGTAATTATATCTATGGCTTAACCTCAAGTGATTTGGCTAGCAAGACAGACTGCAAAGAGAAATATGGGTTTGCTCGTAATAATAACTACCAGCTTCTGTAAAGTTTTAATGAAATACAACTCACTTGTCTGAACATTAAGAATTTATCATCCCATTCATTCAGGAGTCATCTCCTGAATGAGAATAGAATAAGAAACTGTCGGAAAAAAATAAAAAAAAAATGAGTGCTATAATTTTAGGAGCAAATCTTGAAATGCCTGAATCAACCATACAAAATTTAGTGGGTATGTTTTCATGATATTTACTATACATGGGAATTTATGCTCCTGATTACATCTCACAGTCTTACAGTAACTGGATTTGGATAAATAGTGAGCAGTAAATTACTGCCCTCCTGCGCTGAAAAAACTCCTACAGAAACTGAAGGTTATCAACAGCTAAGAAAGCCCTGGTAGGCTAATTCCCCAAGAGCACAATGTTCACATACAAACTCAGGATCTTTTCACAAAAGTTATCTTCTTTCATCTGTTTAGCAAAACTTCATTAGCTTCAGAGTATGAAATATAAAACTAGTTCCAGAGAGGAAGAGGAGATGAGAGGAGGGGCAAGGTAAACATATTGCCAATTCAAAACTACAAAAACTATCATAACCAGAACGTTTCTCCTTAGCACCATCAGACAAGAGAGCAAGCAAAAGAGGAAAAAGCCATCTAAAGGAGAATCAGCTGTATTAACATAAAGTGTTTTTGCCACCTCTGGTTAGAAATATACTCTCACAAATCAAAGCAGACAGCCTTGGTGTCCTGGAGTCACCTTCCCTCTGAGTTCAGAAAAAGAGCTTGGATTAACTTCTGCTCATTTGAATGTGGGCATATCACAACAGTTAGACTGATCAAGGGCAGAAGACATTATGTTCACATTCACTGCAACTGATTACTTTTAAAGTACAAACACATACACCCCCCCTATGCTCACAAGGTGACAAAACATACACACCTCAGCCTCTTGGGCTTTCTACTCAGGAAAAATTAAGAGTGAACTTCAAGGTTCGTGTGTTTCAGAATTCATTTTGGTAACAGTTTAAGTGTAGATACTTACCCTACAGCCAGTCCTTCTGTTACAGTGACCAAGTTTGAGTAAAATTGCTATTGGCTTTCTAATTATAGTAAAACAATTTACATTACATTGTAGCCTCTTCTATTTCACTTGCATCTAACAGTATTAATCATACCCAGAATCAGAGGAAGTTTATCTGTAAGAAGAAACAGTACATGCACAAAAACCGAAACATTTATAAGAGCATTCTTTATGTCAGACACACAGTTTATACTGCTTCCCAAGCTAAGCCCATAAAACCCTACACTTCAGCTGAAATGCGTGAAGTCATAATGAAGCACTGACCCTGCAGCTTCCTTTGCTTTACCAGACATGCACTTGCACAGGCCTCAGATAATTACATATTAAGCAATTACTTTAATTATCTTCTGGTGCAGTTAAGAAGGAGCGAATAGGGAAAAAAAAAAAAAAAAAAGAAAAAGCCAAACCCACAACTTTTAATATCTTCTTCCTCAAAGCACAAGTTGGTGCAAACCTACAGCATGATTTTAAAGCCTGTTATGCATTTACTCTCCAAAGAGACACTTTCTTTAGAAGAAGAATAAGCTATCTTACAAATGAATAAAATAAGTTTGTCTTTTTTCCATATAGTCCACCAAGAATGAACAAGAGGCAAGGATTTTGCCCTGTTCAGTTGCTACTTTGATTATTTAACTTTCTGTCGGGCAGCTGCTCTGCATATAATCTTTAAGGCCCCAACCATGAAAACTTTTATCTGTATGAAGAACTCAAAGCTGCAGGATGACCTAAAAATGACAGTTTGTTACCCCAACAAGCAAATCCAACTACAAGATCAGCACGCTTATTGTAACGGTAACCATACAGCCGTCTCCTATGCAAATTAATAAAGAGACAAAATAAGAAAGTAATATTCTCATAACATTAAGAAACAAACAAGATACAAGAGAAAACTGGCTGGTGGGGCTTCCAGATAAAATAAGTGATAGCTTACCTTTACTCATTAAGGCAAAGCAGTCTTAAGGGTTTTCTCTAAAGCAATTCAGAAATGCTTGTATGAAAGGCAGCAGCTACAAGGTGGTTTAAAAGCTTCACCAGATCTCAATTTGCTTCGTAGCTGCTGCAGATATTTCATTAAGCACATACAGCTTTCCAAAAGCTTGAAGTATCCACACCTAGAGCACTCACTGGCGTCAGTATAAGCGCAGCGCCCCAGCTCCGCACCGCTCCGCGTAGCTCCCGCGGAAAAGGACCCACGGCGCCGGGCGGGCTGCTCCTCCCGCCTCCACCCCGGGCGCGTCCCCGCCTGCGGGGCCGGGGCCCGGCCCCTGCCCCGGCCCGGCCCGGCCTCCCGCCAGCTCAGGCGGCCCAGGAGAAGGGCGGGGCGGGCGGGGCGGGCGGGGCGTGGAGCGGTCCCGGGCCCTGCCCTGCCCAGCCCTGCCCTGGCCGCGGCTGCGCCCGGACACACGCGAAAAGACCCTTCGAGAAGGGTGCCGTGCTCTCCCGTAAGTCGCTGCCCCTATGAATCCCCAAAAGAACCGGGGCCCTGGGAAGTGTGTTAAGGGCACGTTGTTTCTTTGCAGTCTCCAGACGTTGGCGGTGTTGACGACGTCACCAGTGTCTGGAAACTGTCTGGTTTTCCAACTAGAGTCTTGCCCCGTGGGTTTTACTGAGAGGTTGTTTCGTAAAAGCTTGCAGAGCTCATTCGTGGTGCTATTCGTACGCCTAAAGGTGTTCACATGTGCAGGGTTGTAAATCAGGTTTTCCTTATCAAGAAAGCAAATAAATACTGGCTATAACGGGGGGGGGGGGGGGGGGGGGGGGGGTGGGGGGGGGGGGGGGGGGGGGGGGGGGGGGGGGGGGGGGGGGGGGGGGGGGGGGGGGGGGGGGGGGGGGCAGAAACTGCAGTTACTTACACAAGCTTCATTGAGTGCTGCTTTTCTTTGTTTTATTTTAAGTCCTCAATTGCTTGCAAATCAAAGCAGCACAAAAAGACAATTATTTAATAAAAATCCAACAGGAATTTTGTTCTCTGACAGAATAGAAATACTGTGTTTTGCTAGCAAATACATTGACTAAAGAGCTCTGGTAATTCAGTTGCTTATTAGTAGGTCTGAGCAGTTCTAGTGATTTCAATGCTATTAATTTAGTCCTTTTTTTTTTTAAAAAAAAAAAAAAAAAAAAAGTACTTAACAGTATATAGCAGACTTGCAAATGCCCTGACAGTGGTCTGCTGTTCTCTCAAGTTGCTATAAAAGCAGCATTAACCTTAGAGGTACTCTGTAATAGCATATTATAAGATGTATTTAATGTGAAAAACACTAATGAACTCGCCTAATGAAACAAATGATTTGTCTGTTACACTTGTATTATCTTGCTCATGGAAGTCACCGGGAAGCTGACATCTCAGTAAGTGTACAGCAACTGAAGAAGCATAATGCATAATCAATAGCTTAAAATTAAATATGGAAATGTCTCCCTACTTGTGGGGAAAACAAAAATCCATTTACAACAGCCATTCATAAAGCGCCCAAAATATGAAAGAGTTTGATAAACTTGTAAGCCCAAATACACACATGCTTTATTAAGTGTGTGTTTCTAATTAATTTATGCTAGTAAACCCAGCTTTTTTTGCAGCTCTATTATCAGTATGACAAATACTAACATAAGCACGTTTACAGTATGAAAACTCTAGTGACTACAGTGACCAATATTCTTGACAATATTTAGGTTCGTAACTTCCATGGATTATAGTGGAATCCAAATATTTTTAAGATACTATTTTAGGGTCTTGGTTCATTGACAGAGTGGGGTGTATATGTCTGAAACATTGCTATACAAAAAAGATGTGCACAGGCTGGAGAGGGTCCAGAGGAGGGCCACAAAGACGATCTAGCAACTGGAAAGCTGCAATGTGAGGAGAGGCGGAGAGATTCGGATTTGTTCAGCCTTGAGAAGACTTAGGGTAGACCTCATCACCATGTTCCAGTATTTAAATGCTGGCTACAGAGAAGATGGAGACTCCCTTTTTACCAGGTGGCACGTGGAAAAGAGGAGGGGTAATGGGTACACGTTACTCCTGGAGAGATTCCAGTTGGACACAGAAGGAAAATTTTTCACAATGAGAACAATCAGCCCCTGGAGTAATCTCCTCAGGGACGTGGTGGGTTCTCCAACATTGGACACTTCTAAGATTCAGCTGGACAGGTGCTGGTCAGTCTTGTCTAGACCATGCTTTTGTCAAGAAAGGTTGGACCAGAAGATCCTTGAGGTCTCTTCCAACCTGAAATTCTATGATTGTTATAAATATAAGAATATATGGTAGTAATTTTCTCATTAAGACCCACAAAGAGGGATAAAAATGCGAGTCCTGTTGGAAACTAATCAGAGTTTAAGAAAAAAATTAATTTATCTGTGAAAGGTAAAGTGAGTAAGAGAGGGAATATTTTTTGCTTCTCATTTTATAGCTTCTCTTATTTCAGAAGGTGTTAGCTATTGCCAGCGAGCTATAAGGCAAGAAAACCAGAAAAACACCAAGAGAATAATTTAAAAACAATTACTCTCCAACTACTGAGTACAAGTACCCATACTTCTCCTGCATAGGCAATCATCAATCTGTCTGGAAGGACTCTTTTCAAACGTACTAGTCTCCTTAAATAAAAAAGAGGGCTAGGGGT